AATTGCCCCCATGCTATGATTCTAGGATGAGATTTTTTGTCAACGCACGCCGCCCTCATTGATTGCGCCACAAGAACCACTACCCTCAACATTCCTACCTCAGCACACACGTCTGAATCAATCGTTTTAAGATTGTGCACCACTGGAAGTCATCAGATTCCGCCGCTTGCCGCCATTACCGTCGAACTTCACTCAAATCACTTTGTTGCCAATGGAGACTACGTTCTTATGCCTAACAAGGACGTATTTCTCTCGAAACAGCTTGCCCTCCCGCACTGCATTGTTCCAATTGCCAATGGCCGCACCCGCGTAGGGATAGCTAACTTTAGTTACAGTACACAAGTATTGCCAAAAGGTGCTTCCTTAGCAACAAGCTCATCGCTAGACACGGCCACCGTCTCCACTATTGCAGCAGACCATTCAACCCCTTCTAATTCAACCCGCCCAGCTCCTCTGGACCCTTTCAACATACTCACTATGGTAGACTCCACGTTAGACCCTTCCGAACAACAGCGCCGTCAAGATCTTCTATGGGAGTTCCATGACATCTTTGATTTTGACAACCGCCCCCTTGGGCAAACGACCCTTGCTACACACCGCATCAACACCGGCCACGCAACTCCCGTTCACCACAGACCTTACCGAGTGTCAGCCAGCGAACGCCGAGTCATTCAACAAGAAGTTGACACCATGCTTTCGAAGGACATTGTTCGACTTTCCTCTAGCCCCTGGTCATCGCGCGTTGTTTTAAGAAAAAAGATGGATCATGGAGGTTCTGCGTCGACTTCCGTCGTTTGAACAAAATCACAAAAAAGGACGCTTACCGACTCCCACGTATTGATGACACGTTGGATTGTTTGCACGGTGCCGAGTACTTTTCCACTATGGACCTCCGCTCGGTGAATTGTCAAATTACAGTTGACGATTCAGATCGAGAAAAAACAGCATTTATTACACCAGATGGCCTGTACGAATTCAAAGTTCTACCATTCGGCCTTTGCAATGCCCCCGCGACATTCGAGAGGATGATGGATCGCCTGTTTAAAGGTTTAAAATGGACAACCTGCCTATGCTATCTCGACGACGTAATTATTTTTTCAAGCACATTTTCCTCTCATCTCACGCGCCTGGCCCAAGTACTCGACCTTTTCTGTAACGCCGGCCTTCAATTAAACTCGTCCAAGTGCCACTTCGGCAGTCGTCAAATAAAAATGTTGGGCCATTTGGTGGATAAAACCGGCGTTCAACCAGACCCTGACAAAGTAGCAGCTGTTCAGCACTTTCCAACACCGCGCTGCACTAAGGATGTCCGTAGCTTTCTGGGATTCTCTTCATACTTCCGCCGTTTTATACACCACTTCGCACATACTGCCCGGCCAACTTAACAACCTTCTGAAAAAAGGCACGCCTTTTTTATGGCAATCGGACGAAGAACGACCGTTTACATGCTTAAAGACCGCTCTAACAACCAGCCCCATTCTAGGTCATTTTGATGACTCCGCACCCACTGAGCTTCGCAAAGATGCCAGTGGCCATGGGATCGGTGCTATTTTGGCTCAAATTCAATCCGGACACAACCGAGTAATTGCTTACGCTAGCCGCACGCTTTCTTCAGTCGAAAAAAATTACACGATCACCGAGCGGGAGTGTCTAGTGGTTGTGTGGGCAATAACAAAATTTCGGCCATACCTGTTTGGCCGCCAGTTTCTTGTAATCACTGACCCTCACGCCCTGTGCTGGCTATCGTCTATAAAAGATCCTGTCGGCCGCCTTGGACGATGGGTTCTTCGACTCCAAGAGCACGATTTCACCATAACCTATAAATCAGGGAAGCTCCATCAAGACGCCGACTGCCTATGCCGTTACCCCGTGGACTCTACTACCCACATCAATGAAGACACCGATATTCCCGTTCTTTCTATCTCGAACCTTCTGGACATTGCCCAGGAGCAGAACCTTGATCCACTGCTGCACTCTATCATTTCAGATCTGAGAGGTAACACCAATACACCCTCTTCAAGTCTCCACTCTCTCCAAAATGGCGTTCTCTATCGACAAAAATTTCGACCCGACGGTTGTTCTTGGCTTCTGGTCATACCCAAGCACTTACAAACGTCTATTCTCGCCGAGCTGCATGACGCACCATCGTCCGGTCACCTGGGTGTGATCAGAACCTACGCCCGAGCGAAGGAACGATTTTACTGGACAAATATGTACAGAACAGTGAAGCGATATGTCACCTCGTGTGACTCCTGCCAGCGCCGAAAAACACCCTCCTCCCGTCCTCCAGGATTTCTGCAACCTCTGAATCCTCCTGAACAGCCCTTTCACCGCGTAGGAGTTGACCTTCTTGGTCTCTTCTCTACTTCCTCAATTGGTAATCGCTGGATAGCGGTCGCGATCGATCACACCACACGCTACGCAGTCACAAGGTCCCTCCTGACCGGAACGGCAGTTGACGTTGCCCAATTCCTGCTCGAAGACATCATCTTAAGCACGGAGCACCTCGTGAACTTTTGTCCGACCGTGGACGGCCCTTCATATCTCGCGTCGTGAGTGAAATCTTGAACCTCTGCTCCATTCTTCACAAAACAACGAGAGCCTACCATCCACAGACGAACGGCCTCGTAGAACGGCTTAGCGGACCCTTGCCGACATGCTCGCAATGTACGTTACCCACGAGCACAAAAATTGGGACGTTGCACCCCCTTACGTAACTTTCGCATATAATTCCTTGCCTCATAAAACAAACGGCTACTCTCCCTTCTATCTTCTTTTCGGTCATGAACCCCTTCTCATGTTGGACTCACTGCTTCCGCTACACCCCGAAGCCTCGCTTTCCGACTATGCATCGGACGCCACAGGCCGTGCTGAAGAGGCACGACAACTTGCACGCCCGCGAACTCTTGATTCTCAGGAACGGCAATGCGCCCGTTATGACAGCATCCACACTTTCGTCGCCTATTCACCAGGTGACCTGGTTCTGATCTGGACCCCACAGCGACAAGTCGGCCTTGCTCAGAAGCCACTACCTCGATATCGCGGTCCCTATAGGATCTTCAACCGAACAAGTGACGTCAATTATACAGTGGAACCCGTCGAACCTCCCCAAAATAACCGCCATCGTCAAGTACAAACAGTTCACGTCCTCCGGCTCAAACCATACATTCCCCATTCAAACGGCGGGACGCCGTTTCCACCCAAGGGGGAGTGATATTAAGAAAAAGAAGGGACGTTTTCGTGAGGAGACAAGAAAAGAAGAAGAAGCAGAGGCAACGAGATTGGGATGATTGTAACCGCCATTTTCAATCTTCACCTAATGTAAATTAAAGCATTGTATATATCTATATTCGTCGTAACAATATCACGCGAATCGGCGTCCAGCCATGCGCAAGGCAAACTCCCCCTTCCTTATTGAAAACTCGTATGCCTCAACCAGCATACCCTCAAATGACCATCACCCGAAGAAAGGTAAAGTATCTTTCTGCTTAACAGATGCTTTACACAGAGAGTGCTATCACAGCATTGATGTACTAGATTTTATAAAGAAAGCGAAGACAGCGAAACCTGTTTCTATGCGGTTTGCTTTATTGACTGTTATAAAATGATTGGCTCGGTCTTAGCACTCTAATGGAGGTACAAAGAATATCCAACTGCTCCACTGCTACGGCGCATACTTGAAAACTTTGAATATGGTGTGAATTCTCTGGAGATGTCTTTACTCGTTTTACAGCGATGGCCGTTATGGGGTCTTCCCACCATCTGGAAAGGAGGGGTGGGGTTAGGTGTTTTCGTAGATGTTGTAGTTGGTGTTGTAGACGTCCGTTGTTGATGTCAAATCATTGAAAAATATCACCCGCCGCCCGCTGGTATCATACCTGCGTCGGCTGCACGCGAAGCGAAGGCGTAACCACTGAACCAGGCCATAGTGTTAAAACCCGCTTTAAACTTAGGCGTTTTGTAGTACCCGATGCCCACTATTACAGACAAAAAGTGCCGTCTAAAAAAATAAAAAAATAACAGCATTTGGAACAAAGTGAGACGAACCATAAAGGTCCGCAACAGAACAGTTGTCGATGTTTTCCAGAACCTGTTTGTTCACGTATTTCAGGGTGCGTGAACGCGACGGCGAGGCCCAACTACTTAGTCGTGATGTGTTGCATCTATCACTGTCACTGTACTGTGGGTTAACACAGGACTTCTTTTTTTTGTCTCTTATGCTCATTTTTAAAAATTTTGAACTTGCCTCTGTCTTGCTTGGAATGAGCCTCTAGCCGTCAAGCTTAGCAGCGTCTCTGACGAGAAAGAGCAGGTGTTTTTCTTTTCAGTTTCGCATGTGCGTCAATTTGCTCTTTCATCTTGTTCGCGTATGCTAAGCTGGCAAAATTCTATTTTTGCATATCGATTTGTGAAAAAAATATTAAAAAGTGAGAGCAAAAAAAAAAAAAAAAAACTAAGAGGGAAGTAACCTTACCGGTTTGATAAGCACTAAAAGCGCTAGCTGCTTATTTTTTCTTTTATGGCTTAAGTTTTTGTGGTTCTTTCCGGCGCTCTGTAACCGCGCGTAGACAAGTGGTGACACACGCCTTTAAACAATCAAGGCTCGTGCGTGCTCAAGCGCTGCAGTGCCGGTTTATGCTAGATGCAAGAGTTACACACGGTCGCGTCTTAAGGCTAGGTTTACACATTTGTAACGGTTGTGCTCGCATGCAACTGAAAGAACCGTAACGACCAAAAATCCGCAACAACCATGACTCAGGGAATGTTTCGCGCAGCTAGCTACCCCTTCAATCGCTTGGCATGCTGTATACGGCAAAAAACTTGCACCGGTGACTTTGCCGTTCCGGTCGTTCCTGTTGCATGCGAGCGCAACCAACGCAGATGTGTGGACCGGCTTTTACGCAGGTGCTTGCGCGCGCCCTGGGTGGAGAGATGTGGGCCTATTACGTCTGCTCCCTTGGCCACTGAATACCCTTTGTCGTTTACAATTTTATTCGCAGCAATCATGGGCGGAACCTTAACTAATCCTGCCATTGTGGAAAAGGCAAGGACAAGGATGAATGCCCGAAGTTTATATGTACGTAAGCTATCCTGAATTGGGTCCTTCTTTACGACACACATTCCTGTTTCATTGGGTCCCTTATTTATGCCTCTCAACGGTGTGACATTTCAGATAGTTTACGGGGGAGGCGAGACCAGTCCGGTCATCACGTGCACGAATCCGGATGAACCAACGGATCGGTGGATTCGAACGGTTGGAAAGCCGCTGGATCACGTCGAGGTCTGTATACACCGGTCGCTGGTCACTCTCAGCGAAGGATAACAGGAATCGTCGTTTTTTTTAATACGGATTTCTACCTGTGATATTAATAATCTATGAAACTGTCAGGCTGTAGCCTGCCTGAAGGGTGAGACACATTAGCGATAAAACGTCTGAAGTGTTGTACAACGCGTCAGAGGAATTGCTGAGTTTGGCAAGACGCAGTGTGGTCCCCGTCTCAAGTCAAATTCCTCGCGGATGTGTCTCACCTTCAAAGATAATCTGTGGAACTTTTACGAACTGTAAATGTTGCAAGATTTCTATCTATTGTAACCACGACAACGGCAGCTCAGAACCTTAACAAAGAACACAAATTAAAAAAAAAATCTCAACAAGCTATGTAGAATAGTAATAATATAAAAAACTGAAAAGAGACAAGGTAATTTTTTTTTGTTGTAAAGGAAGTACTTGTGTTATTCCTTTTTTATGCTCTATGTGTACATTATTTATAGCCAACACGTGATTAAGTTCTTTTACAAACGGCACATTGCGAACGCGCGATGTGAGCACGTTCAAAGCTACCCAATTACGCGACGTCTTTGGTTGAAATGAAAGAAAAGCAACACCAGATTGAAGCTTAAATTCCACATATCGCAGACAAACTGCAACAACGTACATCGCATTTGGCATCAAGTAGCTTCCAGGTCCCACGCATAATGAACTGCTTGGTAAAGAGTTTTTAAATTTCTAGTTTTTAGATTTTAGGTTTTTGAAGGAATTTTGATTATGCATGGTTGGGCACTATCGCCACAAAAATGTGTCTTGATAATATCTTGGAGGGTATTTCTTTATCGCGAAAATGTTTTTCTGAGGTATTTTATTTCTGTACCTGAATACATTATCGCGTATTTTCGTGGTAGTGCCACCATCTCATGGGCTGTTATACTTTCCTGCAATTTTCGAAGAAATGTTTTACTTACATCACACACTGAAGCTCTATTTTCTTTTTTTAGCAAGAGGAGGGTGGAATATTACAGGGGATTAAATACGAGAGATGATCAATACGTTTTTCCTCCTAGGTTGTAAATAATTTATTCAGTAATAGAATTGAAATATGTTAAATAAAGAAGTTCGGAATTTTCTCTTTCACAGGAGCACAAAACATTTAAATATAGCCCCCACAGGCGGCGATGGACTTCCGCTCTCGGTGCACTTCTCTCCGTATGCCCTCGCAGATGATTGAGGGCGGCGGTTGATGAGACCAACACCACGCTGGAGGAGCTGTAGTTACAAAATGTTTTGCCTCAGACACCTCAGAGCCCGGCCCTAGCGCCATCAGACCTTTTAATGTTCTCCAAAATAAAGGAATATCAGAATGGTACACGGTTTGCGTCAAAAGACGGGGGTGGGGTTATTTATTCAGTAAGCCGTTAGTGTCGTCATCAGTCGCCCCTCAGTCATCTATGACCGCATACCAAGAGTAGTGCACAGTCAGACGAACTGCATCGCCGCGGGTGGGGACTATATGGAAACGTTATGCGCTCATGAGAAAGAGGCTATTTGAAGCTATCATCCATCCGCATGTGATTTCTTTCAATTTTATTACTGAATAGAAAAGGGACAGTCTAGGCGGCAAAACATAGTGATCACCACTCGCATGGAAACTAATGTGCTTTCAGAGCATTTTGCATCTAAGGATATGTGACCTTTTTTATTCTTTAGTAAAGCAAATATTTTGGCTGGCGCTTAATGTTGTTCATCTTGTAATAAAGTTTACGTGCGATGAACTGCAGGTTGTGTGGACAATCGGCTCCCAGGGCATAATACATTTCTCAAATTCATGATGGGGCGTCACCTGCCTTTCGGTTGTACAACATGGTCCTTTTTACCGTCCCTATGTTTTGATCACGACACCAGGTAGATGTAAGAAATATAGAACTGTGTTACCCTAGGAAAGGGGAGAGGAGATCCGAACAAAACTATCCCAGACGAGAAGGTTCAGAGCAAACAGTCCCATCAACATGGTCTTGAAGGAATCGGTCCTGGAGCAATTTTTTCCAAGCGGACATACGGATAAAATGGTCGCAATGAAGCTTTTGGTGTTCATCATTTGTTCCTTGCAAATTTCTCAATTGCTGGTATTTGTTAAGATATAACCTGTACAAAAGTAAATGTTTCATAAGCACTCCTTATCGACATTCGTAATTTTAGACCTTCTTTAGTAGTATTTAAAGCGTACTTCAGTCAACATATAAATAGAACAAATAAATGCGTTATGTGTATCAATTACATCTTACTAAATACAGGCGCTTCCCATTTTCAGATGTAATTTTTTCGATTGGTCAGTAAATTCAGCAATGAAACGGAGACTGTGATGGAGTAATATTCATTTATTTGTTTGTCCAATCGACTGATGCTGATTGCCCCTGATAAACCGCGAAACATTGCTTGGATTGCACTTCGTCTGCGCTCCTCGCCCCTCCCCCCCCCCCCGCCAACTTTAATCATTTAATTAGAATATTTAATATTCAGGCATACCACAGTATTAACGTGCGGTAAATTTGTGAATCATTGATGCTATTTCTATCTATTCGGAATTCGCAAAGAGTACCGTTGGCTTGCTTTTAAGCCAGGAAGCTGACATGAAAGGGTCACTTGAGGAGAAACCGGCACTATTATTGCTGCCATCCAAGAAAAATCAGGGCGTCGACTGCTATGTTTGTGCTTCTTGCTTTGTCATTTGTCATTTGGCGTCGTTATTGGCTAATGCCTTATTTCTATTCACATGGAGCCAGCTTATCTTGTTGAGAAGTGGATACCGATTTTACTGGTATATTTTTTGTCAGTACCTTTTTGCCCAAAGACATTCTGTCGTACATTCTTGGGAGCGCGTCCCATCCGCCAGAGTTCTGTGGCACTATCAAAAAGAAAACGTTTTCATAGACGCTACTACGCGAGGTTCACTTTTCCTTTTTGTGCGGGAATTTTCTTCCGGGACCTACAGCATATATGCTTCACTTACAATAATTATGTTTTGTGCATTCACTACACACACAAAAACAATTATAGTTTGTGTTTTTACCAAAAGTCTTTGTTATCATGAAGAGCAACAATTGGCTTTCGAAGGGTTTGTCTGGCAGCTTACCTTTTGTCCTGCTGATAACATTTCCAGCCAGGATAAAAGCGCGTTCGAAAGAGGCATTGGACGGAACGGCCATGTTGTACTTGAAAACACACACGGTTTATGGCTGAGTTTTTGGGGGCATACATCACGGACGTACCGTTTCTACTTCGAACGTCCGCCCTCTTTCAGTCCTGTTTGCAGACATAGTGCTTGCCTCATTCTTGTACGTATTTGTCGTCAAAGGTTGGAAGAATTCCTATTGTTTCGTTAACGCTTCGGATCTTATAGGACTTGAAAATCTCAAGATAGCACTTAAGGCATCATATCTTGCTCATTGTACATAATTCGTTCATATTAACGGCTACTGTCCTGTTGTAAGAGAGTACTTTAGAACAGTTTCTGTTGAACTGACATGTAAACGATATTGTAAACCTGAACGAAAATATTACAGATATAGTTTATGCTGATGATACAGATTTATTTTTTCAAGCAACTGCTGGTCTCCATTTAGTAATTAATGTGAAAAAATCTATCAAAGACCTTGTTACTTGGAGTTGCTCTAATGCCTTGCAAAGTAAATATAACAATGGAAAATCAATTTCATTTCACCCTAAAAACAAGAAATACGATATGGCTACTCTTAATATTTTAAATTCAACAAAACTAGGTGTTATTTATAGCTTTAAGTCGCTTGGTGTTATTCCCATAGATCGAACAAGATAGGATGAACGGGTAAAATATATTTTGGTAAAACTGCCAAGCGTTGATTGCGCAATGGACCGTCACCGACAAATCTTACGACAAAATCTTAAATTACATATTTTTAATTCATCATTTCCTTCTCACATGAATTATTAGCATCTATTCCGTGGGAATGCCACAAAATGCCAGTTTAAAAAAAATTTATTATCTTACTGAAAAACACCCTAATAACCATCTGTAATGTTTCGTGTGGCCATCCTAGCAAGCCTCTTCTTAAGGAATTTAGTATCATGCCTGTGAATTATGTGTGTAAATATCGACTGTGCGTAACCTGTAAATGATACCTGCAAAACATTATCCTAGTTTTTTTTAAACTTGCGTTTCTAACACCAAGGATGACAGCATATCCCACCTAAAAAACGGTGTACTGGAAGCTTGAAAATTATAAAGCAACCTACGGTGAGAAAATGTTGCCAAACGCACTTCCTAAATAATTTAACTACTTCGTAACCCAAAGCATATATCGCCCTACTATATCAGTACAATATCTCCGATCATAGGTTTCTTTAAATATGACTCTACAGCAAATGTATGGTGACAACCGTAGAAATGTTTTCGTAATAAACGTGTCACTATTTTTCGTCAGCGTTGAACTATAATGGACCTTTATATATTCTTGTTGTAAGCAGTACTTTTTGTCTTTATATATATTTTTGGACTTTTAATGGTTTATTTTTTATTGCTCCGTTTTCATGTGTGTTATGTGTTTATTACTTTGTTCCACTGCTGCCAAATGCAAGGAATGGCGGGGGGGGGGGGGGGGAGAGGGGGGCTTGCCAAGCTGCATTATGCTTCTTTTTTCTCGGTCGCGTTCTGTCATTCACTGTTTGGATGGAAAATAAACATTAATATACATTATTGGACGTGCTTATCTAGGAAGATGACGCGACAGATAGAGCTTGCTCCCCAACGCGGCTGTTGGGGCTTGTTTTCTCTAGTTCACCTTATCTTCCCGCCACTGCACTAGTTTCTTTGACAGCTGATTCACTAAAAGTCCCTAATCTGTCTTTTTTCGGTTTTCCCCCACTAAAAACAAATCCTCAGAATCAACTAGCAAAAGAGAAAATAATGACCATCGTCAATGCGGCAGCTGCATTTTGTTACCGCCTTGGCAAGGATGTGCACGCTTAATAAACAAGAGTTCCTAAGAGAAGGAGTGGGAAGAGGGGAGGGAGGCCGTTTTTTAAAGGCCGAAAGGGGATGTGTCTTGGATTTTAAAGAGACGTAGACGCCTTCGTCCGTATACTTTAGGGATCCTACACGTGCTGTTTGTTTCCCGCAGTTTCGAGAAGGTAGGAGTGGCGCCGCCTAGCTTTTTCGCGCGATTATTCAACTTCACTTGAAAGCGCATTTCTATACACCCTTTCGTGTTCCTGTCAAGTTCCGGGTAACGCCGAGGGAAAAGCTGCCCGATAGCAGCAAGACACAGATATAAAATATTATTGAGGCTCTGAAAACATAACTTTGTATATGACATTTTGTATTTGAGTGCTCCCTTTTCTGACAGATATAAAGTGGTTTTCTCACTAAGTTTTTTTTTTCTTTTCTGGCGCGAACGTATTTTAGTGATGAGCAAACATGCCGTTAGATTCATAAAGTTGTATGTTGAGAGTGACTCCAAAAAGCTTCTTTTTTAACTAATATGCTTCTAACCAAACTAAACAGATAACTCAAATTATAGCATGTTACTCAAACCTAGTTGAATTATGCGCAAAGGCGCTCAAAAATTTTAAAATGAAAACAGTCATAAAATAAAATGCGCCTTTCATTGCTGCAGGTGAAGGTTGTGGACGCCGAAGGGAATATTGTTCCCGTGAACACGAGTGGAGAGCTGTGCACCCGAGGCCCCCATGTTTTCAAGGGCTACCTCAACGATGACGCGAAGACAAAAGAAGCCATCCGAAACGGCTGGTATCACACGGGGTGAGGAATGCATTTCTGTCGGCCTCAGTTTCGACAGCTATGATTGAACCTTACACCTTACGATACAATATATACTGTAAAAGGAATACTTTTTCACGACACTCCCGATGATGAGCCTTTGTACCCCCAAAATAGCGCCTTTCTCAAGCGCATAACCAACGCACCGAAGTAGCCGAATCGAAACAAGTAAAAAGACAAAACAATCTTTTCACTTGGCGACGTGACGGATGGCACCGGAGTAGCGAAAGGCGGCGGCGACCATGGCGCAGCTGTAAAATACGCCAACCCTGTGCGCGACACGAGCGCCAGCGCCGCGACCGCGGTGAGAAAGAGATCTATTTCCGAGTGAGTGAGCGTGATGAGCGTGATGACTGTGAGTGTGATGACCATGATAAGCTGTGAGTGTGATGACCGTAAGGAGTTATGAGTGTGGTGACCTGATAAGATGTGAATGGGATGAGAGTGATGAGCTGTGAGTGTGATTACCCTGATGACCTGCGTGTGTAATGCTCGTGATGAGCTGTGCGGAATGACCTGGGTTCGTGATGACCGTTACTATGAGGGTGAGTGACTTTTGGTTTTGTGTTTATTTTTGATGGTAAATGTATGTAATGACCTTGTATTCAAGGAAACCTGATTGTGTTTGGGAGTTCGTTTTGTTTTAGTTCAATCGTGATGGCGAGTGTGTTATGATATTGTTTTGAATAAATCTTGATAATGAGTGGGCGTGTGCTCTGGTTTCGTTAAATCGTGATGATGAGTGTGTATGATGAACCTGTATTGAATAAATCGTATTTGTGAGTTTGAGTGAGGTCGGCTGAAAAGGCTTACCTCTACTGTTTGCTACTTTCCGCTGTTTATTCAGGAGAAATATTTCATGTGCTCAGTTATGAACATCTTGATAAGATGGTGATAATGTTCTGTAAAAAAAGAATGCAATGAGAGCTAAAATTTTGGATCCCCCAGTGCAGCATCTCTTATTTTCATTACGTTTTTCGGTCCCCGAACACAGTCGAGTGAAATCGCCTTACATCACTCAGTCTCTGCAGCTCACGCTTCAGAAACTTGTAATCACTAATTTCTTAAAAGGAGACGGAACTCCTAATAAACTGTTTTACTTGCTTGGAGAGAACAGGTATAGCTCAAAATAAAGTAACAATTCTGTGACGTATAAAAGAACTATTGAAGTAAATAAAATGTTTACCGTAACAATCACCTCGCGGTTCTTATTGAGCGATTCCAAACCACCCTTCCATTCCGTGGCCAACATCTTGATATACAAAAGTATATTTGAAAATATTTCTTATTTAAGATGTATCTGGTTATCTAAATACTGTGGTAAGAAACTATTTTCGGTGGAAAGCTTATTAGTTTACACGTAAATGTGTTAACCCTTGACCTAAAATTAAATGCTTTTTGGGAGTTCAGTGTTGCTTACGAGGTCCATCAGAGCAAATTCGCAATCATGGATTTGATAATTATCTGTTTTTCGTTTACCTTTTTTCCGGAAAAATGCAGTCCTCCATGAGATGACTTCGTGACTTCATAAAATATTAAATAAAACTAAATATAATTGTAGTTTTTAAAAACGTTCCTCTGTCTCACCGCGCATTCGCAGGGACGAGGCTACGATGAGCGAGGACGGTCGGATCACATTTGTTGGACGCGTCAAAGAGCTGATCAACTACAGGGGCTTTAAAGTGCCGCCATTGAAGGTCGAAAATGTTCTCAACACGCACACCGACGTGGAGGAGGCGCAGGTATGTTTTCTAAAGTACGGGAGACGATGTCACATGTGCATGCGTAGATCCGCTGTGTTGCAACGCTTTAGTTTTGTACGGTGGGGCCTCCACTTGCTTTATTTATTCGAAGTAATGCCTAACATCTTCGGGTTACATAAACAAATATTTAGGAATAACCTTGTGTTATTGGTTTTCTATCTCGAATGCACGTGATTTTAATGCCTACACTACCAGGACCATTCATCAAGGAACCCCAATTACGTATTGTGCTTTATAGCGATGACGTCGAAAATTTTGAGAAAGGTGGACACTTTGTCCGACGCGTTCAGAACAATGTTCAGTCCTTGCTTTATGTACATCTTCCGATAATATGTTCATACCCTCGATGATATTGAAAATAGGTGGATAGACAGGGCAGGTCAACGTCGCAGGGTGCCTTGCTTCCAACTTAATTTATTCAGCTCAACGTCTTTGGTATTTTCTTTTAACAGATCCAAAACTACGTTCCCTACCTCATTCACCTCGACCGATCACCAAGATTCTCTCACGAACTGTGCGCTTTCGATCAGTTCGCTATTTAAACTGAGCAAAAAAAAAAAACGTAATAATTTTCACGAACCACAAAAAACAAGCGTTGATTTGATCGTTAAGTTTTTTGGCGAGGATATTTCGAATTTCTTTCTGTTTCTTGTTGGTTCTTTTGAATATCAGCTCAAGATTCGAGTAAACTACTCATAAAAAACCTCTTAGTGACGCAACGCGCCTGAACGCTCGTAAGAATGCCTCCGCTGTCAGATCTGGCACCATCTGTAATTGAATGAGTCTCATCTTGGCACCAAAGAGCAACGTAACATCTGCATTCCTATTGGACGTCTCCGCTGAAAGTTCAAGGGTTTCTGCGAAATTCACTCCCCCATTCCCGAAGGCGTCCGGCTCAGTAACTTGGTTCGAAGGAGGTGGCGCCTTCACCTCAAACAGTAGCCGTGCATTCAGGCACCGGCATAGTATGCACTTCCCAATTTCGTTTTTTGTTTATTGTCTAGCCCAAAAAATTCATAACCACTCCTTGAGATTTACTAACATATGACTAACTCCAGCAAAAAGTACTGTCGGTAATCTTGATTGATCAACAACCTGCTAAAGCAGTGATGTTTCGACAGGGTAAGGGGATATTGTCCGTCTCACGATTTTCCCCAAAACTGAAGTTCCCTTGCCACTAGTAGCAGTCTGCATTTTTTTAAGAGAAAAGGAACACTTATGAGTTCTTAGTTTGTTGTGAGTGCTTTGCGCTGTCTGAAACTCTGAATCTCATCGGGAATAACTGCTCGTTGCACTTTTGCACCAAGAACTTCTCAGCAATGTTTAGCCCTTCCCCGGTTAATGCTCCACTTTTATTACTCATTCTTCCTCTCTTATTGACGAATCATATTGTACAGCAGCGGTCGAAGCGAAAATCTGAGCCTTCTGAATTTTGGCGTTACAAACACGTTCAAGCTAGTTGACAATGTTGTCACTTTTCCCTCTTCTGTTAATTTCACACTAGGGTCTTCTCGTTAAGAGTTTTGTGGCCAGTTGGAATGATGGGGTACCCATCTGGGTCCAGACCACATCATCCACTTCCTAGCAGCGCGGTAACCGCGACTCGTCTGTACAGTGTCTTCACTAGAAGAGTTGGACTCCTCTCGTGACATTCCAAAACTGTGACCTTTACAACCAACTTGGTGTAGTGGACTGCTGTTGATGGAACTTGCAATAAACCTCGCACTGTCCAACCAATACAGGCATCTATAGGTGGAAGTATCAGATCTAGTTTTGAAGCTTGGCGAGTGACATACACCTAATAATAGTCAGTTCCCACCAGGATTTTGACTAACTCTGAACAACCTTTCATCCGGAGCTCCGCGGTCCTTACAATGTTTCCAGCCCCCGCCGAATTTCTTCAGAGGGATAAGGCACTCGCAGTACATATATTTGGCTCACCTCGGCATCACGAAAGAACACCACACGACAAAACAGCACGTGACAATTCAGCGTGGTAAAATCAGCACCGCCTCAATATAGTAGAGCGACGAAACAGCACGCCTCAAAACAGCACGCGACAAAACAGCACGGCCTATAAACAAAAGAGCGGCAGAGAACACGTGACAAAATAGCACGCGCGTAACTGCTCTAAGTTTTTTTCGCTGTTGTACATATTATTATTACCTTAAGTACTTGCTTTTAACATGTTCAACAGAAGATATGTATTGTCTTTACATTTTATTATGTACCGCTATATGGCTTTATAATATTACCTGTGGCTTTATATTTTATTACCGATTTATAGCATTTCGTGCATGTTCAGAATATAAAACGTTTTCGCCGAAGACCAGTGAAGAGATATTTCTTACAGTATTTTAATGACTGATTAATTGTTAATCCGTTGCCGGTTTTTATCCATAGAATTGCGGCACCCTATTTACCCGAAGAAAGATTTAGTTCACAATTGACGCGATTAGTGGAATTGATAAAAAAGTGGTTTATTTGGCATACACTCTTGTTCTGCGAATAGATTATATGCGGTAAAAAAGCGACAACCCGAAAGAGTGTCAATGAGGGGCTGAGCATCATACTGAGAGAGGATGTTCCTTTGTCTTGGAGATCTTCTCGAGTATGGGCTTGATCCCGATGGGCTGCAAGCTGAAGTGCACTCGCGATGAATAGCACGGCTGGCAGTGCAGAACCCTGAAATTCCGGAAAAAAAATTTAGAACGATCGTTGAACTGTTTCAAAAGATTATTAAACCACACACATGCTGCTTTTAAAAAAGGGTTGTTGTTTTGAATAATTATTAGAAACATAATATTGGGGAGCAGATATGCAAGCCGGCAATGTATCTCACCTTAAAGAATTCTAGTACTCGCCGCGATAACTCTTTTGGCAGAATTCCTAGAAGTGGAAGATTCGATCTTTATGGCTGGCGTCACAGGCGCTGCTATATATTACTACATTTTATGAAGATGGCTGGTGTTGTACTATGTTGCTGGGACGCACGGGACATCAAAAAGCTTTCAATATTTGAAAAAAGGACAATTATCAATATTTATTTACGCTTTGTTAGAGATATTTTCAATATAATAACACTATGCCATTTGGCCATTTTTTGTAGCGCGAAGTATTTATGTCATGTAAGAAATCATGAGCAATTCCACTCACTGAGTGGATGACCCCTGAAGTTGTCTAGCGTACGACACAGACGTGACACAGCATTTTCAAAAAAAGTGCGAACACAATCATTGTCTTGATCGGTGGTCATCGATTAAATGCAAGTTGTCACCGACATCACTTGAAGTGAACGAGTCCGCTTTGCAGGATCCCGCATATTGCAGATGTTGGTCAAGTCGTTGTCAAACCACAGCCGATCGCACACCCTACAACTGCAGTCAAGCTGCCTGTCCAGAAAGTTCCTTCTGAATTATGCCTATACTCCCTTAAAGTTGTCTATTTGAGCAGCGTGGCACCTTCCGTCTTTGTGATGCGTTCTCCGCCCCACGACGTTCGTCGTCTTGTCTGGTTTGCCACATGCGCATCGCGTTTCGTTCACGATCTTCACCGGTGGTGATTTGCCGCCCGCCGACGCCACTGACATTCTGGTTGCCGTTCCTGTCGCCGCTCTTCGTAGGCCCATTGCTCTTCGGTAATTCGGACTATACGTGGCCTCCCCATTACGACCAGGCAAGAGAAGTGAAATTGAAAATTGAGAACGGCAACCTGTCTTTCCAGTTTTTTTATATATATTCGCGTGGACGACTATCGCAGCCCGAGAAGCCGGAGGAAGCTAGACACGCGGGACGGGACCGCCTTCCGGCGGAAAGCAGGCGGAAATGACCCCGGGAGAGCGTAATGGAACTAGGCACGCAAGCGCTTGGAACGACGACGAAGATAGGGTGCTGCGAGCTTTTGTGGACGCACATAAAAAATCCACGGAACCCACCAGCCATAAACAGCTTCACTGGAAACAAAAGCACCAAAAACAAACAACACAAGTGAGCAACATAAACCAGTAAACAGTCATTCCTCGCATGCCAAGCAACTGTTCATCCGCAGTCGCATCCAGCATCGATCGTGAGGAATAGTTGTGTTTGGTCTAGTCACGAAAGCAAAGATCAAGAATATGCACACCGACTACGAACCTTTTTGCAGAAAGATAGGTTGGAGGATACCTGGTGCGAAAACGAGCATCTCTGGGCCGTATAACACGTCAAATTTATCCTGTTGGCTCATCGTGATTCGATGACCTAGAAAAGCCTTCCCCGAAACATGTGTTTTTCTCCATTCTAGATTATCTTCCGCACCACATCACTTTCTGCTCTGCCAGCACCAAGAGTCAAAGGGTAACGGTTTACTTTCCTGTCAATCTGATATTTTTGCAACAGGTAGATCCTATCGCACCCATCTTGTTGCAATGTCCATCTAGGCACGCCCTGGTGAAAGTAAGGGGCCAGAGCGCTCCGCCTTCTGTTTTTATGTTCGAAAAATATTCTTCCCGTCAGTACATCCTGAGCTCCAGTAAAGTTGACATTTGGGCTAGTTGGTAGTCTAACATCATGAAGGTATTTAGCGCACAAGGTAGAGGTAAGGTATTTAGCGCACAAGGTAATGGCGGCACGCTATTTACCCGAAAAGAAATGAAGTTCCCAATTGTCGAGTTTAGTGTCCTGCTCTTCTTCTCTCTACCCCGTGCACTAAATACCTTCAATACATCCTGAACTAGAATTCAGGATCAGGGTGTTCTTTTTGTTTTTTCATCTTTCTCGAATCTCTTCTCATTTTCGAAAAGGCTGGCGTTGACGATTTAGCGGTGACAACGCAAAACATGAATAACCGTAACCAAGCCTATTTGTCGCAAACGTACACGGAAAGCTTGCCGAGGTTTCCGAGAGCAACTAACAGAAAAAGAATTCACGCGCTGTCTGTCATAAACGCGACGCTTCCATAGCCAACGAGGGAACGGCCGCTACTTACGGGAACCGATGTAA